GGGGATGCAGAATAATGGGGTGACATGACATCAGAAGTAGCCGAGGGCCCCTGGGAAGTCAGTGGAGCTAATGAACATGGGAACCAGGACCTGAGGAGCAGCACCTCCTGCTGTGGGAAGAAACAGAGCTCTTGAGCTTTGAGTTCCGGCATCTAGAAGCTGCAAACCTGGGTCCCTGAATGTGAATGCAGACATGGGAGGGAGGGCGCGGGGGCCTCTGATACCAACGGAGTGTGGCCAGTGGGCCAGACCCACAGACCCTAAGACTCGCAAGAGCAGCACCTGGCACTCAGGTTGAACTTAGAGCTGGAGCCCTTGGTGGCCAGTTCCAGCAATCCCAGAGCAGAGGAGGTCGCGGATGGGCTTGGGGCCATGGGCTCTGCCATTCTGGGCACCATCAAGGCGAGGGTTTGTGCTTAGAAACTGCCCTGCTGAGAACCAACCACATGGCAGACAGGGAGTGACACCTGCTCACTCACTTCTCTGTTCTCCTTGTCTAGAAAGTCTACAGAAACTCTTGGGAGCAGACTCGGGCTGGCGGCTACGACTTCAGGCTGGACGCCATCCCGTTCCAGACTGCCCGGGCGTCCAGGGAGATCGCCAGTGACGTAAGGCCTTGCGTTCTCTCTCGCCTCTGTGACCGATAGGTCTTACTCTGGTTTTCCCAGGCCTGTTGACAGGCAAACCACCAGGAACCGAAACTGAACAAGTAGTTCACACGAGAGGAAGAAATAGGCTTTACTTTTGAGAAGTCCATTAACACGTGATTGATTTGTTGAGCTGCAGTAAAGGGACTTCCTTCAGCTGAAGTGCAGTGTGACGGGGTTCGAAGAGATTGGTTTTCCCCCTTCATTGACTTGAGTTAAGATCCTGGCTCAGTCATTTAGGAATTGGTTCTAAGGCAGTGGTTCTCAACCTTCCTAATGCCGCGACCCTTTAATACAGTTCCTCATGTTGTGGTGACCCCCAGCCATAAAATTATTTTCGTTGCTACTTCATAGCGGTAATTTTGCTACTGTTATGAATCGTAATGTAAATATCTGATATGCAGGATGTATTTTCATTGTTACAAATTGAACATAATTAAAGCATAGTGATTAATCACAAAAACAATATGTAATTATGTATGTGTTTTCCAATGGTCTTAGGCGACCCCTGTGAAAGGGTCGTTCGACCCCCAAAGGGGTCGCGACCCACAGGTTGAGAACCGCTGCTCTAAGGTCTTGGGCGAGTTGCTTAAATTCTCTGAACTCAAATTTTTACATTTATGAAATAGGGATCTAACACTTGTCTACTAGGATGGATGTAGGAATGAAAACAGAATGGTTTAGAGCGTCATGCCCATAGCAGGTGTCCAAACATGGCAGCTGTTGTGATGGAAGAGGAAGCATCATGGCTAGATATGCATCATCTGTGGATGGCTTGGTACTGGTCCACAGTGAGATACATACAGAAACCAAGAGCAAGCATTTAGAAAGATGTTTAACAATTAGACATGTGACATCCAGGCATGTGACCTGTGGACTCATCTTGTTGAGCAGGGGGGAGGCCAATTTGGGTATTTTTAAATCCACGTGGTACCACTATGCACTAATTACGTGCAGTAGGACCATATATTTGATGAATTGCATATTGAAAAAGCAAATTGAAATGAATGTGGTCCTATATAAATAGAGAGTTTGAGGAGCACTGGACTGGGTCCCTGAAAGATGGAAAGAATCAGAGGAAGAGTGGCTGCTGAGAGAATGGGTACATTTTTCTTCCATTGGATTGTGAATTACAGCAGCAATAATACTCGTAGCCACCACTCAGTGCCAGACATGAAGCTAACCCTCCATGTCATGGAATCTTCTCCATGTCCCATAGGGTGGAAGTTCATTCTCCCATTTTTTTGTTAAATATTTTTATTGCATTCAGAGAGGAAAGGAGAGGGAGAGAGAGATAGAAACATCAATGATGAGAGAGAATCCTTGATTGGTTGCCTCTGGCATGCCTCCTACTGGGGATCGAGCCCACAACCCGGGCATGTGCCCTCAACTGAAATCAAACCTAGGACCCTTCAGTACGCAGGCCAACGCTCTATCCACTGAGCAAAACCAGCTAGGGCCATTCTCCCATTTTTATCAGATGGGGAAACTGAGGCTCAGAGAGACTCAGTAACTGGCCCAAGGCCACACAGCTAGAAGGTAGCAGAGGGCCATACAGATGGTAAGTCTACTTGAATCCAAAGCTGTGCCCTTGACCCACTGTAGAATTCTTTCTGAGAATCCGTGGGGAGAGGTGGGTACCCATGACCCATCTCTGCTCTTCTGACCTGCAGTTTCGGTACAAAGAGGCCTTCCTTCGGGACCGGGGCCTGCACATCGGGTACCGCAGCATCGACGACGACCCAAGGATGAGGCATTTCCTCAGCGTCGGCAAGCTCCAGAGTGACAACGAGTACAAGAAGGACTTTGCTAAGAATCGGTCCCGGTTCCACAGCCGCCCAGACCAGCCCGGCTTCCTCCAGGCCAGGCGGAGCCAGCAGCTGGCCAGCGACGTGTGCTACAGGCAGCCCTTGCCCCAGCCCACCTGCGACCCGGAGCAGCTGGGCCTGAAGCACGCACAGAGGGCCCACCAGCTGCAGAGTGATGTGAGCTGCCCCACCCGCCTGGCCGAGGCCCTTCAGAGAGGTGGCTCCAACCCCACATTCAGGCTCCATGTGGGAGGAGCCAGGCTGAGATAGAACCCGGGATGCCTGATACATTAGTTCCCGAAGAAGTAATGACAATAACTGCTCTTTACCCAGTCCCTACTGTGGGCCAGGCTGCGGTGCCAGATGCTTTCCAAGCGTTGTGTCCGGTTGTGTACGGTAGTCCTCCTAATAACCCCATTATTGCCCATTTTACAGAGGAGGGACCTGAGGATTGTAACTTACTCAAGATCCCGTGGCAAACAAGTGGCAAACCTGGGACATGAACCCCTTTGGCTTGATGTGAGAGCCCACGCTCTTGATTGCTATGCCAAACTGTTTCCAGGGGATCTTAGTAGTTACCTAACCCAGCCCTTGCCCTTCTCTCTCTGGGAGGAAACCGAAGCCCAGAGAAGGGAAGTGACTTGTCTAAGGCCACAGAGCAAGTTAAGGTAGGAGCTTGGACTTGAACCACGTCTCCCCATCCACCGCCCCCATTGTGCTCCCATCACTTGAAACGGGTGGGGAGCGTCTGGCCCACAGGCCGTATAAAGGCCCAAGAAATCATTTGGTCTGGCCCTGCCAAGGCATTAGGGGTGAGTTAATTAAATGTTTGACCAAATAGAGCGGGCTAATCTTTAAGTTGATAACTTTGTATGGCCCACCAATGATGTTATAAATATCCACATGGCCCTTAGCAGAAAAAAGGTTCCCACCCTGAGAAAGATGCAAGGGACAGCGACAAGCTGGCCAGGCTCACAGCACATTGGGTCAGGGAGCTCCTGCTTTAGATAAGTTTGCTTTACTGACAACGCATTTTCCATCTCACGCTCACCTTTAAGCCTCTCCACTCCATGCCCAAACCATCCCCAAGCCTGCTGACACATTCCTCTTACTTCCCTTTCCCCCCCAAGGTCAAGTACAAATCAGACTTGAACCTGACCAGAGGTATTGGCTGGACCCCTCCTGGCTCCTACAAAGTGGAGATGGCTCGACGGGCTGCAGAACTGGCCAACGCAAGGGGCCTGGCTCTCCAGGGGGCTTATGTAAGTAGCGAGGGGCAAACCCAGTTTGCAAGGCCACGGGGAAGGGCAAGCTCACCTTTCCTTTTTCAGACTTTATTTTTGGCCAAAGGTCAGATGGCTCTAAAGAGTGTGAGATGCAGCTCGAGCAAGGTGCCTAATTCCATGGGTCCGAGGTGACCAGGCGGATGACACCTGGGTTAAACTTCCTGCAGGGTTTTCTCTGAAGCCGCAGCCATTAGTTCTGCGGAGACGAACCTGCTGGCGCCGCATCAGTCCTGGGCCACAGTGGCCCAGGCTGGGCTGCCTGCTTGCTCATTACGTTTCCACAAAGGCTCAGGGACTTGCTGGCTGCACCAGTCTGGGTTTTGAACCCTCCTTTGTTCAGAAGAAAGACAGCGCATCTAAATGAGAGATTGGCTTTGCTTCCTCCTGGTTCTTGCCTTGAGGATCCTTTCTCTGGAGAGAGGGTGGTGGAGGGGAAAAGAAAGGACGGGCGGACGTGTTAAATGCTCCCGGGGTCTCTTAGACAGCTCATCCTAAGGGAGCCGCTGGAAGCTTCGTTGGGACTCAGGGAGATGTGTTTGGTTTCTGCAGTGGGGGGCAGAGGCTGTGGAGCCCAGAGATCATCTGAGGGCGGATGTGAACCCAGATGCCACTGAGATTCTGCACGTCAAGAGGAGGAAGGTGCTGCCCTTGTGAGCAAGTGGGTCCACCCAGGATTCTCGGGAGAGACGCTGGAGAGGAGGCTTGCACACCAGCGACAGGCCTAGTGGCTTCAGCTGGGGCGAGCCGTGCAATGGCACACCAGCTATGCCCTGGTCGCCTTTATTAAAGTAACAAGTCTGTGAAAGCAGATGGAGAATGCGGTCTTTTGTGGTCCTCTAGCTGCTACCTAGAAGTGGACGGCTCGTTCTGTTGGGGCCTTGAGTGTCTCCGATGAGGCATACAGGTGCCAAGGGGACACCCACCGATGTGGAATGTTGAGAGATCCCACATTTGCAAATGTCCGAGGTGGAGGCAGTCAGTGAACCGTGATTTTCTAGAAGGTGCCATGGTGTGAAGGGAAGCAAGCACAATATATTTAGGGCCGATTCTGTCATTTCCCGACTGACTCAGGAGGGAGCCTGATGATGGTGGAGATGTTGGTCCGGGACGCCCCAGGCCGGGAAGCTGTTGTCTCTGCTTAGAGCACGGACACTTCGCCGTGTGCATCCTGGAGGCTCCCAGGGGTGTCCATTGCTGCCCACAAGGCCTCGCGTGGTCTGGGTGCTCAGGAGGAGGGGCTCTGAAGTTCGGAAGGCACCTTAGAAGCCAGTCTCCCTTTGGATGGTGGCTTTGATCCAATTCAGGAACTTGGTAACTTGGGTGTAGACCCCTGGCTTCTTCCCACATTCCTCGCCCCAGCTCACTATCCCGTAGACATAGTAGGTCCCGTCCTTCTCACAGGTCAGAGGGCCTCCAGAGTCACCCTGGGGGGAAAAGATGCGAGTTCAGCTCTGTGAACAGAATGCATTAGGAGACACCCCACCTCCCATGAGGGGATGGCAGCGGGGGATGGCGTGGGCCCTCGGGAAAGCAGTGACAAGACTCTTCCTGGGCCTCATGAGACCCAAGCCTCTGAAGCAAATACCAGCCCCTGCCCCTGGGTCAGGGAGGGCCTGGCAGAGAGGCACAGGGCCAGGCCACAGTGCTGTGGTCACAACCTCATATCCAGATGCCATCATGGCTCTCAGTAACACAGGTATTACTATCGTGAGTTTTCAGGGGCCCTCGACTCCTCATTCCAGCAGGGCCTGGGGTGGGGGTGGGGTGCCCTGTTAGGATAGAGCCCTTCCAGGACCCACGGGGCACACACAGGGTAGGAGGGCGGGGCTCAGAGGCGCATGGCTCAGACGTCCAGCATGGTTTATGGGGTTAGATCTTCCGGGTTCCAAATCAGGCCCTACCTCCTGCTAGCCAGCTGGGCCTCCATGTCTCACATTGTGAACGGTGTTAGCAACAGAACACTCTCCCCACCCCCAGGATTTTTGTGAGGATTAATGTTGGTAAAGCACATAGAACAATGCCTGGCTTATATCAAACCCCACACCCCCAAGGAAATCGACGAGGAGGAGGATGGCTCTCAACCACACAGCACTGCTTATACTCTCCAACTGTGTAGACAGGATTTTCAATGTTATCTCTTTTCATCTGCCTCAGATCTTATGGGGACAACATTTCCATCTTATAGATGAGGCACCTGAGCTTCTAGAATTATTTTGGTGCAAGGGACTGAATTCATATGTTGGAACCTAACCTCCCAAGGGATGGTATTGGGAGGTGGGGCCTTTGGCAGGGGATTAGGTGATGAGGGTGGAGCTCTCATGCATGGGATTCTTGCCCTAGTTAAAGGGACCTAGAGAGCTAGCTCACTCTCTCCACCATGTGAGGACACAATGAGGAGTTGGCAGTCTGCAACCCGGGAGAGGGTTCTCCCTGGAACCCAACCATGCCGGCGCCCTGATCTCAGACTTCCAACTTTCAGGTGAGAAATTCCTAAACTCTGTCAAATAATACTAGTGACATCCCCCTTGACCAGAGTGTCACAAGGATGAAATGCAGCAATGCAGGCAACGTGACCACCATGTTGTGTCTTCCTGGATTGATATGGGTTCAGATACACCAGCCTAGGCCTGTGCTTTACGGCAGGTGGGTCCCTGAGCTTGTCTCCCAGCCCAGTGCCCCGTGTAAGGTCCTGCCAGTCTCTTGCTCTCCAAGCCCATTTGGAGTCTCTGACCTGGCAGGTGTCTTGCCCAGGCCTCTGCAGGTTTCCCGCACAGATCATGGTCTCGTCAATTGTGTGGTTGTAGAGTCGGCGAGAGTTGCACAGAGTGTTGGTGATCAGCTTGACTTTGGCATCCAGGAGATGTCGGGACCCTTCCCCTGTGGGGCAGAAAGAAGAGGTGGCCAATGAGAGGACCAGGGTGGCACCCAGCCCACCAGAAGCCAGCAGGAGTAAGAAGAGGGCCACCAGCTCTGAGCTTGGGAAGGAAGAGTCTCTCCAGGAGATGGGCTCTGCCTGCAGCTGTCACCAGGGCTATCTGGACCTTCAATACACTGCTTATCACAACAGAGCAGAATCATTTATTCCCTCCTCTGTCCGCCCAGCTAGATCATGAAGTCAGGAAGACAGGGAGGGTGTCTCAACCACTTTTTAATTTCCCATGACTAGCAGAGGATTGGCATGTAGAAAATGCGTGGTGATGGATGCATTTCCCTGGTTGATTATCTACATCACCTGCTTCCCAGAGCAGGTATTTCCTTCCCTAAACTTCTGTTCTGCTCAGAACGCTCTAGTTGGCATGCTGACGGGGAGGGTTAGATGGACTACAATGACGATAGCTACAAACAGGGTTAACCCTAAATCCAATGAACCAGGTATCTTCTTTCCCCTAGTCCTTCTGACCATTTCATATATTACATGCCACTTTCTTTATGAATACAGGCCTACTTAGAGTGATTCCTGCTTTTCATTATTAAGGACATGATGTATGGGGAAGAATTCCATCTTGAATATTAGAGAAAGTCCCATATATTAGGAGATATCATCATGTCAGTACTATGAGCAAAGTAACACTTTGGTTACTTTCTTAGATAAGACCAAACCCTGGAGCCAAATCAACAGTTTGATTTAACAAAACTTTATAGAACACCTACTAAGATCAGCACACTGTGGGAGACGCAAAGATGAATGAGACTTGACCCCACCCTCCTGGGCTGACTTAATCAGTATCTGTAGAATTTTATCTCCTGTTATCATGATTCTAAACCTAGGAGGTAAATATGGTTATTGGAAAACTAAAACTCAGCTGCCCCAGTGACAAGCCAAGAATCTGACTCCACAATTCGTCTTCTTTCCAATGTATCCTATTTCTAGTCTACTTAGGGAAGGCAACAGTTCTTTATGGATACAGGGTCAATGCTTGATGAAAGTCAAGGGTCCGGGGGCCAGAGCCAGGGACAGGTGTGAGATCCGGGGACACTCCTTGGAGCTGATGAGACTTAACTAAACCTTGAGAGATGATGCAATCTTTCTTTTGATAGTACATTTTGAATATAACACTGGTTTCAAGTTCAGAAGGGCAGTTGAGTTTGACCCTTTATTTTCTGGTTAAAATAACTCACCCGAGTCTCAGGAGATTGCATGGCCAGACTCACCTGTTTCTGTAACACCCCAGCCAGAGATGTGGCACTCGGTCCCAGAGGGAAAGGGACCATCAGGCAAACATACAGTCCTCACATATTTGGATTCTAGAGCACAGTGACCATCCACTGGCTTTAGCTTGAGCAAAGCTAGGTAGAGAGAGAAAGCGGAAATGGGTGATGTTATCCTCTGTATCAAAGCATCCACTCCACCTTGATTGGAAGGTGCTTGTAGCAAAGCCCCACTTTTTCCATAATTTCATTTTTTAAATGACTAATCAATTTTTAAAAAACAGGCTTTCCAAGGGTAAAAAACGATATTGAGGAAGGAGAGAGAATGAGAAGTATCATGAATGGAAAACTGGGCAGTAAGACGCTTAAGTATATCATTGCCTACCAGGTGTGATACGGGGTGTGCACGGGGACACATGCACATGATGACACTTAACACACAGGAAGCTGAGTGTTGCAGTCAGCTTCCCATTTTATAGAAGAGCAAACTGAGGCGAAGATAGGTGAAGCTGGCTAGCAAGTGGGAGAGGTGGGATTCAAGGCTGAGCTTTCACACAACACAACATCGCTTCCCCTTAAGAGCTTGTGCATGTTTACCCACAACAGTAACCTTTAAGAACTAGAAAGTGATGGAATAAATTTTCTACCTTATAAGGTCTATGAGGGACCAAACAGAACCAACCCTCAGCTTTCCATCAGTAGAGAAATCCACCCAGAACAAGACCCGAGGGAGATTCCCGCTAGAAGAGACTTGCCGATATCGTTGTAGGGAATGTCATCTCGTTCATGATAGTGGCTGTACTTGAGTATCTTCTCCACCCTGAAGGTCTGCTCATGGAATTCTGTCTTCTTCAAGTCCTGGTCCCCTAGTACCACTCTTAGATTTTTGGCTTTTAGGCTGCAAGGGAAAGTAAGATGGTCAAGAAGGAGCCCTGGCACTGGAGAGACTGCAGCCAAGCCCTGGCTCTGCTCCTGGTGAACTGTGTGACCTTTGGTAAATGGCCCAACCGCCTGCAGACTTGGCATCCTCATCTGTTACCATTGTCTTGTTCACAGAATTCTGCTGTGAGGTCCAAATGGGACAACATGAAGACACTGTTTTATTGATGGGACAGTCTTTAAATACAAGCTGTAACTTGTATCCCACGTCTCCTGGGAGACCTCTCATTCCCCCACGGGTTTTGCTAAAGAGCAGCCAATGAACATCTTGAACAAATATCCTTGGTAGATGCCAATGTTTGCATGTTTGACCTTTGAGGAATAACTCCTAGACTCCCTGAAGAAATTGTCTAAGAACAGGGTGGACAGGAAGACTTTCAAGGCCACCACCGGAGCCTGGCTTCCATGGGACCAGTCCTGGCCACGAACTTAGGGAAGTCAGGGGAGGTAGTGATTCTTCAGGCTCCCAGTGGGTTCTGGCTTCTCTGAGGCACACAGGACCGAAGACACTTGACCTGGGAGGCTCACTGGTGAGGGCATCAGATGGGAGCATGTTATTGTTTCTTTCTGTCCAGAGAGGACTAAAGAGGTGAAGGAAGCAGGTAGGTCTGGGTTCACATCCCACTCACCTACTTCCTTACCATGTGACTTAAGGCCAGGTGCTAAACCTTCCCAAACTCAGGGTCCTCATTTATGAAATGAGGGTAACAGTTAACTCTCTCTTTGCCCAAGTGTTTACTGAGCACTTGCTCATACAGAGACCTATTCTGGGCAGTGGGGACACTTTAATTCATAAAAGGTAAAAATCCCTGTCCTCCCTCAGCCTGTCTTCTGGTGGATTGTTCTGAGAATTGAATGCCATAAATACATGGAATTCAAAGGTACGCATTCTGCCACCCTCTTTGCCCGTGGAGAGCAACAGATGCTGCTCAAATGGGAAGGGGAGAACATCCCCATGGGCCAGGCCCCCTGTCCTCTGCTCCCAGCAGGCACCTACTCAGTGCAGTGGGCAGCAGTGAGCACCCAGCAGGGGTGGATCAGCGCCCCCCCACAGAAGTGGCCCTCGGGCATGAAGGTCGTCAGTGGCAGCGAGGTCTGCAGGGACACCTGCCACGGGTGCTTGCCCGCCGTGCTCTTAAAGCCTCCATAGATCCTCTTGATTTTTCTCTCTGTTATCTCAGTCCTCCCGCACGAGTCAAAGCCCGGAAGCTTGGTCAGGGGCTCTACAGGGTCGGTAATGTCTGTGGGACACAAGAAAGACAAATCACACCATTCACCCTCCCTTCAGGTCCTCAGAAGGACATTGTTAGAGGTATGACTCTGAGTCTAACAACTTGGCAAGTGTCCAGAGCTAAGAGATGGATGCACACAGGGTGAGTAGGTAGTAGGTACACAATATTTGTTGACTACATGGATTAATATAAAGCAAGTCTATAAAGTTAACAATGAAAAACGTTGCTTTTTCATTCTTATTTTGACATGTACACACACAAAGATGTGATGCAAACATATAAGTGCATCACTGGATATGTTCTTAGCTATCATTAGTGCACACATATATTTGGGGGCCTCTTTCGGTGTATAGGGAAAGATATCCAGATGAAGTAGAATGGGGGAAATAAGACATTTGCAAAGGTAACCATCATACAAAGTGATAAGTGTTATAAGGATGGTGCCTGGTTTCTTTCCCTGAGGTTTCTGAGGAGGTGGAAATGTACTGTATTTGGCAGATCATAAGGACTTCCTGGAGGAGGGCTCATTGAGTTGGGTCTCACAGAATGGTGGGTTATGGACAAGAGTAGATATGAATGCAGTGTTACAGTCAAAGGTGATCGTAAGAGCACAGAAGTGAAACTGTCCAGGCAGGCAATCCCATTGATCAGGATGGAGGGGGCATTGTTCCAGTGGTGGGTAGAGAGGTGGGCCAGCGCAGCCTGGAAGACTGTGAGGCTGGAATCCAGACTGTTTTGTATCCTGAGAGGCTATGGGGGCCCAGCCAATGTTTGGTCACCATTGTACATCCAGAGCCAGGCATAGTTCCTGGAACATAGCAAACAATCAACAAATATTTGCCGAGTGCACTGACTTGGAGTTAGGAAACATGAATTTATATTTGCGCCACTGGCCCAAATTTACAAAGGTCTCCAGACCTGCTCAGCATCCCAAGAGGGGATCAGAGGAGCCGGCAGTGGGGCCGCCACTGGGATGAGGTTCGGTAAAGCAGATGTGGTGGGAAGACAAAGGTGGGAGAGATGGGGGCCAGGAACATCTGTCTACGGATCTGCATCCTCCCCCCACCAGGGCCTCTGGGGGGCCAGGGTCTTACCTAGGGCTGGGCAGGATGGGACATCACAGTACTCCCATTTCACCTTTGCACTGTTTGCTTTAATGAAACACCAGGGCTTTTTGTCTCCATCTGGGTTTCTAAAACAAAAACCAAGATAACCCAGGGTCAAGGCTTGGTGAATCCACGGGACCTCATTACAGGGCCTTTGGGTAGAAGAGCGACACATTCCTGTGTGTCCCTGGGATCATAGATTGATTCTGGCATATAAGGGTGGTTGTAGTTTTTTTGGCAAAACCTTAACTTCCAGAGGAGAATCTGATGACCAGGAAATAGTTCATGAGCCTTGTGCCAGATCCACGGGAAACATCCAATTATTTGTAGGAAAAGAAGTGAGATCCCCATTGATGATCCTTCTTTGTCAGGAAAGTGAAATAGCCCCAGAAACATGGTGAAAGTAGGGCTCCTTGGCCCCAACCTCCAAATTCCATGCATGGGAAGTCTCTGAGAAAGGAGTCACCCTGAAGACAGCTCCATGAAGGGAACAGCTCAAGGTGAGTGAAAGTGGAAGGTCCCTCTTGCTTAATGGAACCAGTTTAAAGCCATACAAACAACTCCTGTCTCTTAGATACAGATCATGAATGCCCTTGGCCTTGATTAGACAATAAAGAGTAAGAGAAAACCAGCAGAATGGTCTAGAGGCACCAGAAGGGGCAGAGGGAACTTGTTGTCACCTTTACTTGGGAAAACCTGAACATTCTTGTGGTGAAGACCGTAACACTCACCGGACATCCAATTTCCTTCTCCACATTTCTCCCTTAATGTTATATGGGGCCTCATGACACTTTTTAGTCAATGGCATATGTATGCAGAGACGATGTGTCACTTCTAGGTTGAAGTAGTAAAAACAAAGCAAAACTCCTGCTCCATTTTTTTCATTCTCTTCCTTTCTTGCCCTTTCTGGGTAATTGAGTCACTTTGTGGAGCTGAATCCCCCCCATCCCCTACCAACCCACATGGCACATTAGTGAGAAATAAACTTTGATGTATTCAAGCCACTGGGGTTGGGGTTTGTTTGTTACAGAAGCATAACCTAGCCTGTTCTGAGTATGAAAATCTCCCTAGAAAGAAGGGTGATGAGTTCCAGTGTTCTGTCCCAAAATGTCTAAGCTGGCCCAGGAAATCTTGGAGCAGCGGAAAGAGACAAACCAACCCTTACACTGACAAGCGACCAAGACTGAGTGTAGGGAAGAAGGTGGTTTTTACCTGCAGAAGTTGTGCTCCCCAATCCCGTGGGCTTCAGCATCCTCCATAAACATGTTGTAATTCTCTTGCAAGAGGAGGTGGGAGTTCCAGTAAAGGCATGAGTGCTGGTTAATTGTCTTACTCACTTTCCCCCGGTAAGAGTAGCCATCACCAACATAGCAGTCATCAGAACCTCGGAGAGAGCAGGCAGGGATGTGAGAACGGAAAGCAACTGGCATGCTGCTCCCGAAAAGGACTTGGCGGGTGTGTCAGGGGGTGAGATGATTGGGCCTGAATATTGATCACCCTGAGAGTTCACTACAAAGTCCCAAAAGAAGGTGCCTTGAAGGTCCCACACTTAACCCAGCTCAAAAATGTGAAATAACCCTCGCTGGTTTGGCTCAGTGGAAGAGCACTGGCCTGCAGACTGAAGGGTCCCGGGTTCGATTCTGGTGAAGGGTACATGCCTGGCTTGTGGGCTTGATCCCCAGTAGGGGGTGTGCAGGAGGCAGCCAATCAATGATTCTCGCTCATCATTGATGTTTCTAACTCTCTCTCTCTCCCTTCACCTCTGAAATCAATATATATATATATATATACAAACAAAAAAAACCCTATGAAATATAAAGTGCTTGCGGGTGGGTGGAAACTTATTTACTTAACTTTGGCTCTCACAAGACCTGGTGGCAGGTGGGTTGAGGCCCAGAGGAGGCCCAGGTGGATCTGAGTTGCCTACACTCTATCCCAGTTTCTTACTTTCTCTGCCTGGAGCCATACACACCGTATGCCCTCAGGTTAGAAGGCTGAGGCAACAGCAGAGTTTGGGAATCTTGACTTGAATCCCGTTCTGGGAACAAAACCCAAACAGAACAGGATTCCCAAGGCCTTGCTGGTGGCCCTGAGATTCTGCCAAGGTGGTGGCAGAGACCCATACCTATTTCACAGAATTTCCCCTTGAACTGGTCGGGGCAGGCACAGGTGAACTTGGATCTTCGCCGGTTCCGGGAGCAGGTACCACCGTTTCGGCAGGGGTTTGGCCTGCACACAGGAACCGCTGTGAACACAGGAAGTGGGGCCGGGAAGGGTCTTCAGAACGAGTTGCAGCCACATCTGAGATGACGAGGAGACACTGGTGGCATTCCTCTGGTGTCCATCATTTCACAAAAGATGGGTCACCCAAGGGACAGACAGACCAACTGATGCCCTAGTAAATGTGCACATCAACTCAAAGATCATCTACAAACACGGATGAGGCACTGTGATGAAGGCCACAAAATGTATGCAAGTGCATGGGTCACGCTGTAAGGAATAGCAAGAGGCATGGACGGGCAGGCATTTGGGGATCAGTCTGAGCTAAGCTGAAACTTGGCTGTCCCCCTTTAAGGCTGTGTGACTGTGAGCAAGTTAGTTAACCTCTCTGAACTTTACTTTCTTCATCCGTAAAATTCTTCCTTGCAGTGTTTTAGGGAGAATGTGAGAGAGAATATAAATTGCCTTGGACAATCCCTGACTCATACACTGAATCAGTATAGATTTATGCCCCACCATGGGCCATTCCGGGAATAAACCAGGGCTGACTTCCTGGAGGAAGTGATTTTTAAGATGATTCTTTTTGGATGGGAAGGAGCACAGATCAGGCAATTCTCAGTAACTCTCCAGGGATGATGAATCTTTAAAACTCCTAGTGATAATGGCCATCATGGATGTTACTAGAACATCAAATGTATCTGGACTGTAGGGTGCAGAGACCCCAGGCACAAGCCAGGGCAGAGAAAGCCTAGCATGGAAGGGGCTGCCGGCACTTACCTGTGGAGCAGTCTGGACCCCTATAGGGGTGCTTGCAGGCACAGCGGTAGTAGGGAGGACTCTGAGTAATGAGACATTCGCCCAGGCCACATGGGTTTTCCTTGCACTTGTTTTGCACTGTAGGAGATCCATAGAGAAGAAGGTTCAAAGTACAGGACATTATTGGGGGCACATTTCACTTAGAGGGATACCTGAACAGTACAATGTTTGAGGGTCAGATGGCTGATGGAGAGTGTGCCCTTGTCCATGGTCCTGAAAGACCTGCTTCTTTTACCCTCTTTCCCCCTCCCCCCCTCCCCAGGCAAGGCTTTTCTCTAATCTTCAGGTTATTATGATTGCTTCCCAGTTCCTTCCAGTGTTCCTTCCCATACTTACTCATTTATTATTCTATCTTGATAAAAACCTTGATAACGTTTACACCTTTAACAGAGCTGCATTTTGAGTTTCTCCATTTCATAGCTGATTTTATATTTCATTTACATCTCCCCCCGACCATTCTTCTGAGAAGGTAAGGGGTGAACCCAGATACTATGTTTATATCGATATACCAAATTATCCAGAACCATTTGTGGAAGGACTTGTAGGATTGAAAATGGAAGGAGTAAATAAAGAGGACACAGAAGAGAGAAGTCAACCATAAAACCCTATGTATGTAAGACCTCCACTGCCTCCCTCACCCTGGTTAGATGGTTGTTAGATGGAACAGAATCCAGGAGCTCTCCAGGGGTGCAATTAGTCCATAGGATTTCCATTGTCGTGCTTATCGTATGCCCCCAAGAACTCATCGAAGGCAGACACAGCCCTTAATCAGAGCCCCCATGAGTGAGGAGAACAGGGAGAAAGAGCATGGAGCCAGGCGTTAGGCACCAGGGCTCTAACTTATGCTCTTCTCCTAACTAGCTGTGTGGCCATGAGGAAGCCCCCTGCCCTCGCTGGGCCCTCTTTCTCTAATGGAGTTGGTTGTTATGTGCCCTGAGGTGCTTCCTGCTCTCCCATTTGAGAGCAATGTTTCTCTGTTGTCGTTAGTCTAAACACTCAAACCAAAACAAAGACAAGTCTTGAGTTTTGAATATGTCTTGGTCAGATTCCAGCTCTTATCTCTTCTTAGCCTTGATAGTCTCATCTGTAGAATGGACACACTAGTCCTATGTATCATGCAGGGGCAAGGATTCAGTGAGCTGCTGCCTGTGACCATGCTGAGGAGTCCATCATACATGATATAACGTGCGTGGCGATGATCCCTCCTGAGGGATCACTCAGCTCTTCTTTACCCCATTGACCTGGAGAAGGAAACTGCAGAGGGAGAGTGAATCCAGTGAAGGTGCACTCACCATTCTGACACCTGCTTCCAGAGAAAGGGGCCAGGCAGCTGCACTTGAAAGTGTCCCTACTGACGAGGCAGGTCCCACCGTGCTCACAGGGGCTGGACAGGCATGGATCTGAGACATTTGGACAGAAAGCGATGTTTGCAATAAACAGCAGGCAGGCGAGAAGCCCCCTACGTACTCATCGAATTTCAGTCTCCGGCCCAAATGAGAAAGTAACTACATAGCCAGTGATTGGGGGAAAGGGGACACAGGCATGGCCCTTAAAGAGCAAGGAAGCCCTAGCCAGTTTGGCTCAGTAGATAGAGCATCTTCCTACAGACCAAAGGGTCCAGGGTTTAATTCCGGTCAAGGCCACATACCTTGGTTGCCCGGGCCCTGGCAGGAGGCAACTAGTTGATATGTTTCTCTCACATCATTGTTTCTCTCTGTCTTTCCCTCTCTCTTCCACTCTCTCTAAAAATCATTGGAAAAATATCCTCGGGCGAGGATTAACAAAACACAAAAACAAAACAAAAGAGCAAGGACAAAAGCAGTCACACGACCAGAGAGAGGGATTCAGGTTGGGAAGAGGACTGACAAGAAGGAATGGTGACTGTCTCCCCTCGGCCTGGCTTGCGAGGGGGCCTTTCTCATTGAGAAACTCCCCTTTCCCATCCTCAGTCTTTTCCTCCTCCCAGTCTCGCTGGGAGTGCCACGGGGTCTGTCTCTGATGCTGAATGCATTTCACAAGCCCGAAGACCTCCCCTACTCCCAGGGCCCGGGGGTGGAGGTCAGGCCTGGGGAAAGAAAACCCACCCCTAACGGAACACACGCTTTCTGAACATCAGGCACGAAGACCAAAGGCAAGAGGGTGACAGAAAAATTGACGGCAAGGAGGAAATGACCCGGTGGCCTTCATCTTTCTTCAACTACTTGTTCAGTTAGATTTTGTCATATTTCATCTGTGCCTTTGGCTTTTCATGGTTGTCTGAATGGATCTTCCCTCGGGGAATTCTTTATCCTTCTGTTCACACGCATTGTTCTTTGGTTCAGGGACTAGGATCCCTGGGCCCCGCTCTTGTTTTGATAGTCCCTTCTGATGTTCCCCCGGTGCCCCATGTCTTAGCCCTGCCTTCCAGGCCACTTCGCACAGTTTCACAGCTTTTATTCCAGCGGCTGACTGCTTTCCGTTTCTTCCGCTGCTGTAAGGCGCATGGCTGTGCTTGGGCCAGCGACTCCCTTTCCTTTCTGCACTATGGCTGGGTTAAGAAGCCACAAAAAAACCCAAAAACAAATGGGGCAGAAGCACACATGTGAACACACACACACACACACACACACACACACACACACATCCTAAAAACAATGCAAAGCTTCTAAAGAGTCAAAGAGGAAGAAAAACACAGCCCAGGCGCAAGGGAAGGGAAGTGCCAATGCCAAGTTTGTGCATGCTGCAAATCTGACGCTGAATGTTAACTCAGACGCTTCTCCCTAATTAGGGCCTACCTGTCATGAAAGCTCTGGGAATGATTTTGACTCTGACTCCTACTCACCGTGTCGGGAGAGCTAGATGATGAGGCACTAACTTGTGTATCAACTTGACTGAGTCAACTCCTTTCCTGGTCTCATTTGCCTCACTTGTCCTCTGAGGCTGAGAGAGATGGTCTCAGAGGACCTCCCCAGGCCCCGCAGTATATAATTCTAGCTGGAAAAATAGCCAGTTTAAATAATTTCTTTGGTACCTATTTTACAATGCCCGTCAGAGAGCAGGAAGAGAGGGAGGCCTTTGCACGTGGTAACACATAAATTCAGCTCCAGGTGTGCTGCCCTCCTCCTGGGAGGGCCCCTGAACAGTGTTGGTACCTGCTATTGAGAGGAGTTAGCTTGGAACCCAGGCAGATAGGGCCGGGGTCCTGTGGAAAACAAAGGCAGGTGGAACACAGGCAGGGGCAGGCACGGCAGTTTGAGCAGCCTGACCACAGGAACCAACCAAGCAGAAATAATAAAACGTTTCTGGACTCAAGGCGGGAGGCAGGGGAACCAAGGGAGCGCCTGCAGTAAACAAGATGCACGAACACATAGAAACAGGGAAAGTTCAGCATAGGAACAGAGAAAGCACACACAGAAACAGGGAAAGTTCAGGTCCGTTGCTGGCAAGAACAATTGAGGGAATCAATCAGGTGACGACACAGGTAGACATAGAGCAGCTTGTAGCAAATATATGCCCCTGGACTACAAGGCTTTAATGGGCATCCCATTCTTGGGTCCCCCTCCCCTTGCGGGGAGTCTGAATCTGCTTGTAATAAATTTTCCACACTGCTTAAATCTTTTGGTCCGCGTAGATCATTCTTCGGTGTCTGAGACACGACCCCGGGAAAACACCTTGGCTCACCGTTCCGGGTATCACTGTAGTCTTCATAGTACCACTCAGGATTATCGGTGTGGTCAACAGCACCATCCGTGCTCTCTTCCTGCGTGTAGTACTCAGGGCTGTACTCATAGTTGTCGGGAGTCCAATCTGCAGGGGTGGGAACAGGACCGAAGAAACCCTAATGATTACATCAGCCATTTTATTTCACTGAACATTCCCCCCCTCCCCCTCTCCAAAGATTTCAAAGTCCTGGAGGAGGAATCATGTGTCTTTCCAGATCCTCACACTGATGGGGTGGACAGAGGTCAAGCATCATGAGTTTCCATTTGGAAGAAGGATGTGGTCACCCCCAGCAAAGCAGCGTTGGCACTGGACAGGGTCAAGAGCACCTGATTGGAAAGGGGAAGAAGTCAAGTTCTGGCTTCCCACTGACTGTGACCTTGGACAAGGCAATGGTATTCTTGGTGTCCCCGTGTTCTCATCCGGAAGCAGCATGAAGGTGATTGGAGCCTGAAAGGTCTCCAAGGTCCTGTGTAAGATCTGCCCAGGGTCAAAGCCAATGGCACTTGAGTGCCCCATTGGATGGTTCTGTGAATGAAATTTCTTGATGGAACTTTATTAGTCACCTGAGCTTAATGAAGTCAAAGGAACTAGTCTTCTTGGTCACAGCATCAAATTCTCCTGAGTTGTGTCTAAAGAGTCATCACAACAGCTAATGTTCATCGAGCCTTTACTGTGTACCAGGCCTTGGACTAAGCATTTTACATGAACCTTCGATTTCATCCTCATAAAAATTCAGATATGTTATTATCTCCATTTTAGGTTATTATCTCCATTTTAGCCGTGAGAAACCCAAGGCTGAAAGAGGTTAAGTAACTTGCCCAAGGTCACATAGCTAATAAACAGCAGGATATAAATTAAGACAGTTTATCTCAATAGAACCCCTAAGTTGAACCCTTGGCTGCTTCAGTTTGGCCTCGTACAGGCCTCAGGTACCTCTACACTTGCCCTTGGGAAAAGCCATCCCCATGGAATAGCCAGCCTGCTAATTAGGAATCACCCAACGACAACCTTGAGAAGGTTCATGGATCCTGCGCACTGAAAGGCAGGGCCGTGTATGGCATTTCCCAAGGTGCAAACCTCACACTGGCCAGTCCACTGGGAAGAGCAAGTGTGTGACAGGCTGGACTCAAGCTCATTGATGTGGGGCCTTGGAAGATGCTGGGAGCTCTGTGGCTCACGGAGAGAAGTCTGGGGTTTGCAGAAAGTTTGCAGAGGCCAAGCAGCTGGGGGGCCGAGCAAGAGGGGCGCTAAGACTCTTTCCATTTGGGGTGGGCTGCAGCATGTGCTGAAGGTGCTTTGTGGGTGCATCCCCTGGGAGGGTTGCTTCACCTCTGAACTTAAAGCTTATTTCGTCCTTTCTCTTCCGTTGGCACTTAATCCCATTGTCTAGATTAAAAACACGTGCATTGTACACCATGGACTTGGCTGGCTCCAGCTGGCAGGAGCATGGCAGGCAGAAGCCGTACGGAAGCCGTCCAGAGATGCATATGATAATGAGGCCAGCGCAGATGCAGATAGCCGACTTGAAAAGGCGCTCCCACCGAGCCAGCTGATGGCTCCGAGGACCGCACTTTACCCAGGCCCGGTTATCAATCGCATTACCTCACTCATCTCTCAGTCATCCCCTTCGAGTCTTTATCTCCCTGGCTTTTGAAAAATCGACTTTTGCACAATGGCTGTTTTATATTTCCCATTAAAATGGAACTATCTTTTTATTTCCTTTTTGAATCTGCCAACTCTGGTTCCTTGCCAGAGTTTCACCTCATTTATCACAGTGTCAAGTCGAGACTCCCTTTGCTTGCTCATTATTCCTCCCGAACTGCCTTTCCCCACTCTGAGAATGCTCCCAGAGGAGGCCACCTTCCAGGGATGAGGATCTGGGTTGAAGATAAGGCCATTGTCTTCCTGGAGCAAATAAAGTTTCTTTCCATCTAGTTGGATAAAGCCTGAGAGAAAGTGAGGGAAAAAAATGTTTTTCTGAGTTTGACATAAAAGCTTTCCAGCTGACATTTGGGAGAGACAATGGGGTCTGATAATGAGGTATTGCATCATCTCTTTCTTTTTTGCTTTGGAGAATGCATTTTGTTTATAGATAAGCGCCTCCCATTGCTCCTGTCATTTCTCCCATCACTCCCTCAGGTGGAGGGTCAGATGGGCTAATCTTGGTGAGGCCACTCAGAATCCACCCCTTTGCAGATATTAGGAGAAGAGAGTTTCACATGGATGGAATGGAGCAACTTCTCTGGGGGACGGGGGAAGGATGAAGTGTCTGCTGGACGATTTTGACTTGAATCCAACCCTAGGAACAAGGTCTGCTCATCGCTCGGGGAAGCTAAGGAGGGAATAAACCAGGTAAGCTTTGAATTATGCTCCTGCTATTCTCCAGGGCCCAGGCCCTGGGTAAAGGTGGACAGAGGCCGCAGAGCTGGGTGCTGTGCAATGGGCGCTAAGATCCTCCCCACTTGGGGTGGGCTGCAGCATCACCGGGGAGGAGTCTTCACCTCCAAACTTAAAGCTTATCTTGGCCCGGCCAGTGTGGCTCAGTGGTTGAGCATTGACCCATGAAGCAAGAGTTCACAGGTTTGACCCACAGTTGGGGCACATGCCTGGGTTTGGGGCTCGATCCCCAGTAGGGGGTGTGGAAGAGACAGTTGATCGGTATTTCTCTCTCGTTGATATTTCTATCGCTCTATCCCTCTCCCTTCCTCTCTCTCTAAAATCAATAAAAACATATTTAATAAAACATGTTTGATAAAAAGCTTATTTTGTCTTTTCTATCCCATTGCCTAGGTAAAAAATGTGCATTGTACACCTACAATGGGCCAAGTATTATGCCAGGTGCAGGAAGGCCTTGGGAACAGTGGGGAGTAAGTAGTACAAATAAGAGGGGATGTGGCCTCCATCAAAGGAGCATCTTGTCTGGCTTGGCGGGGGAAGAAAACCGGCCAAGGAAGGAGATGAAAGGGTAGCACAGAAGTAGGGAAGCCAGATGTGGCCAAGTTCAGGCTTGGGAGCCTCAAGTTGCACATTGGCCCTCTGGTGTGGTCAAAGCCAATCTGATGGAAAACATGGCCCTGGCTCCCACCCTTCCCTGTAGCCACACCTTTTGCCATGCTCCTCCCACCAAAAGATAAAGCCCATTTCCCAGGCCCTTGGGTCTGGGCTGCCCTTGGGACTTGTTTTGGCCTATAGCATGTGGTGAAAGCATGCCTGGGCCTCAGGAAGCCTTGTGTGCGCCACCCCTCCCCCCCCATGGACCCCTGTGACTGCATGTGAACAAGTGTGGCCTGTTCTACAGGCAGATGAGAGAACATGAGGGGCAGCAGCAGGTCCAGTGGTCCCAGCCAAGGCCTCGGACATGTGAGGAAGCCCAGCCCATCCACCAGCTCAGCCTGGTCCAGACCAGAAGAACAGCATGGCTAAGCCCAGTCTACATTGCCAACTGAAGAATTAAGTTCTACATACATTGTTGATGGTCAAAACCACCAAGTCTGGGGGAGTCATAACAAACGGACACCCAGGGCTTGATTGGTATTGGGTTGCCAGTGGGATTAGAATGTTAGATGCTAGAACATTCCTCAGTGGCCCAGGTGGCTGCAGAGGTTAAGTTTCAGGGCCAGATCTCAGATGGCCCTTCTCTCTTATGGTTCCTATTTAACTCCTTCTATCAATGTGTTTCCTCCAACTCGGTCGGTTGTTGGTTTCTTAAGAGCAGGGCCAACCCTATTTTTCTTTCTACCCCACCATGCCCAGCACAGAGCCCTATGTGCACTTAATGTGTGTGTTTGACAGATTAATCTTTCCCTCTGTGACTAAGCCCTTCCTTCTCTTGGCCTGCACACAGCGGGCACACAGCTGTACCAGCGAAGATAGTGTCTGCTTGGAGCAGAGTAAACGGGGAGTTTAGGAGAGAAACTATGTGAGATTTGGGTCAGGTGTTTGGTGGGAAAAATGCCTGTTGAGCTCTGTAGGAGTCCAGAAACTTGTCCAAGTACTTTCCTGGGTAGAGAGGGATTGCAGCCTAACATGAAATTTGGCTCCATTGGTAGATTGTAGAAAAACAGTCCAGGTTCAAATACAGATTACTTGAGACTTTCTCTGGGCTGTAGAAAAGGGGAGAGCTCTGGGGGAGAATGCAGCAGCTGTCAGAAGCACATTACATTAGGTATAAAAAGAAATCCCTGTGGATTTGTCTATTGTTCAGAGTCTGTGTCTAGAGTGTATCAGGGAGAAGAGCGAGAGCTTCCTGCATTAACCCGAATCGTCCTAACTAGAGGTCATTCTGTATCGAGTATTTTCTATGTCTCAGGCACTATCCCAGATCAATGTGCTGCCCACCATCTTATTTAACCTTAAGATAACCCCGCGGCATCGGTATTATTACTGCTATTTTGCGGAAGAGGAAAACCTCAGGCGGAAGGAGGTGGCATCTGAAACCAAGTCTACCCAACTCCAAGTCTGGGGGTGCTTTTTTCTAAGCCCTGGAGCCCCCTCAGGGTTTATGTTTCATGAAACCCCATGGGTTTGGCTTCCAGGAAGTAACACGCACTGGAAAACGTTCTTTAACCCAGGCTCCTGGTCCCTCGGCCCGGATCACCATGGTCCAGACCCAAGGTCTCTCGGAAAAACTCCGGAGTCGCTGTGACGGAGGCTTTGCAGCTGCTCCGGTTAAAGAGCTTGCCAGATGTGTGGAACGGAATAAAAATCCCCGGAATGCCGTCCCTGTTGGCGTCATCCATCACCGTGGCACAGCCGGTTCCTCCCAGGGCCTCCCCCAAGCCCCAGCCCTGTCCGTCTGCATTTGACGCTTCCAATCCGGCTGACAGGGCGAGCCCAGCGGAGACCCTCCCTGGCAGGCGGCGGGACAGCTGATGGATGGGCTCAGCCTGTGTCGCTGGGCAGAGCCAAGCCAGCTTTGAAGAGGCATTTCCGCAGGCCTGTTGGCTGTCGCGTCACCTGCTTTGGGGAGATGGGCAGAGCCTGTGCCGTTTGATGGCCACCTCCTTTGCCACCCACTGGGGACCGTGGCGTGGGCACCTTCTCCTCCAGCAAGACCCTCCCCGTGCACTGTCTGCAGCAAGATCAACGGAAGAAACAGCTTGCCTGTGGACAGGAGACCGCGTTTCCCGGGCCACGCTGTGGTCCAAAGCCTGCTGGGCCCTGACAGATTTCATCAAAGCACAACCCCCCTGTGAAATGAACTCAGACACCAACAGGGGTGTCTTTAAAACCTAAGCTGCCCTTTGCAGCAAGACTCAGCCCTGTACCTCACCCCGCTCCACGGCCGGAGGCTGACAGACACCTCGAGATGGACTCAGAAGCCCAGGGGTGGCGTGCCCCATGGTTCCTTCCTCTACTCACCCACCTGCCAGAAGCTACTGGCAGAGTTCTTACCGAGCCCAGAACCTCGGGATGTTAAACCCCACACTCTCCACTCCCGGCTAAGTTGTTCTGTAGCCCGCGCTTAAATACCACCAGTGATGGGGAGCTCACTACCTCTCAAGAGCCCAACAGCCTATTCAGATTTCTGGACAACTCTGACGATGAGGATGTTCAACCTGTTCGCAGATCAAATCTGACCCTATCGACTCCACCCTGTTTAATTAGAGTTGTGTGGACACCGTGAATGAATCCACTCCCTTTTCTGTGATCTCTGCTCAGTAGGGCCACGGCTCCCAGTTGTCCCTGTTGTTCACTGCACAATCCAGGGCATCATGAGCTCACGGTCATTGTAGACGTATGTCATTTACAACTTTCCGGCAGATGGCAATCAAGTGTTATGAGGCCAAGACACCTCTTAATTCCCACAGTGCCCACCTAATGGATGAAGGATGGGGCTGCTTTTCAAACACTTGAAGGGAGTGCAGTCCCTGGAGACTTTCATGCCCCTGTTTCGTCACTGGGTGACCCACAGTCCTGCCGTTCTGTCTCTCGGACACCCAGACCAGAGCAGCCCCTTCGCAGGTGCCTGAGCAGTTAGTGCTGAAGGCCGGGGAGGTAGCAGCATGTGGCTTTGGACCCTCCCTGGAGTCCACCTGTGGATGCTGACGTGGCCAGCCGGGGAATGCTCCGAAACAGGGGTCCCCAAGGAACTGAATTATAGGTTGGCTTGGACATTCTCCTTTGCTTTGGGGAAAGACCCAGATCTTCTTAGAAACCCACAAGCACGCTCACATACGTTCCTGTGCAATTCCACACAATTTCCTGAGCAGGCGGGCAGGACAAAGGCCAGGCATCCATCACCTGGAGCGGCACAGCCTGCCTGCCCATCCCAGGCTTTGCTGAGGAAGAATATTGACTGTTGTACCAATTTGGTCCAGGGATTGGCATCTTGGCTCCAAATAAATCCAAAGTTTAGACGTGACTGCAGTCTCCAGAGGTGGGTTCAGACCCAGGGCCAGAGAGCAGGCACAGGGGATGGGGAAGGGAGAAGGCGAGAGGGGGAGGCTGAATGAAAGAGACTCACTGGGGAGTGGACGTATTGAATCTCGAGGAGAGAGACCAGGTGGGGACACTGGAGAGCTATCGCCGGGGGTGGGTCAGCCTGGAGGCTCCCTGCGTGGCACTGACACCCTCCTCTCAGCATAGAGGTGCTGGCTTCCCACCTCGGGGGGCGAAGTGAGTGGGGGTGGCATAGGGCCGCCCCTCCACCCCGGAGCCAGTCATTACTCGATGACACCCTGACTTTGTCTTGTACCTGTCACCTCATCTCAGACACCAAAGGGCTGGGTGACCTGGGGCAAGTTGCTTCCCCTCTCTGGGCCTCAGTGTCCTGCTCTGTAAAATGAAGGGGTTTAACAGCATCAGCAATTTGTCCCTTGGGGTCCTGAGACTGGGCATCAGGGGTGTCCATGGGCAACTCGAAATCAGGTAAAGCACTGTGTGTGTGTGTGTGTGTGTGTGTGTGTGTGTGTGTCCATACAAACACCTGGGAATGTATTTTTCCGGGAAAATCCTCAAAGGAGTCTGCGATGCCTCTGGACCATTTGAACTCTGAGGTTGTGCCTACACTCCCGTGCCTGGTTGCCCTTCCCCCTTCCCAGAGCCAGCCGGTGGGGGTGGGGTGGGGGGGGGAGCCCCCGGCAATGGGCACACTCACCTGGGTCCAGGTCTGGGAACAGAGACATCAGAGAAAACTGGAAAACAAAACGACACAGAGAGCCAGGTGAGTGAGTCACTGAGCCGCTGACGCACCCTCCAGCAAGGCCAGGCGCTTGCCTGCTTCCTCACACGTACCCGTACCCAGCACAGTGCTGGCACATGGCATTCCTCAAAGAGTTTGTGTTGGGTAAAGGATGATATCAACAGTTCCTCTTAGAATGCAGTACTTACCAGAAAAAGAAAGCTTTCTTCATTTAGTCGCTGGGATATTTCTTTTCACTAAATCAAGGGTTAATAACAAGAGCCCTTGGGCCAAACCCCGCAGTTGTGGTTTCATAAATAAAGTTTTATTGGAACACGCCATGCCCATTTGCTGACATGGTGCTAATGGCTGCTTTTGTGCTGCCATGGAGGGGAGTTGTGACAGAGACAGTATCGCACCATATATTTGTCTGGCACTTTACAGACAGCGTTTGCTGATTTCTGACTTGGAAAATGAGAGTTCTGTCGCTCAACATGTTTCCTTCTGGGCTCTGGTGGCCAGAAAGCTGGTCACCGCGATGCACCTTCCGGCTGCCTACGTCTATCTAGGCAGCACCAGTTCTAGCTTTATTTTTAGTTCTGTTTTACTGTAGGCTTCCTTACCCTTTTGGGGAACGAGGCAGATGCTAAATTAGGAAAGAAAGGTAAAAAGAAGGAACGCATCCCAACACGATGTACTGAGGGCGGGACATCAGCAAGCAGCACCCTTGGCAGCAGTGCCTGTCCTGCAACTACTCACAGGGACCACGCCTGTCCTGCATCTACTCGCAGGAAACATGCCTGTCTTACATCTACTCGTAGGGAACAGGCCTGTCCTGCATGTACTCACAGGGAACATGTCTGTCCTGCATGTACTCGCAGGGAACATGTATGTCCTGCATGTACTTGCAGGGAACATGTCTGTCCTGCATGTACTCGCAGGGAACATGCAGATCTGGGTGGCGGGCTTGCTACGGAGCGGCTCGCCTGGACTCTGCAAAAATGCCAATGCCGCCTAACACAAAAGGATGGGAAGACTGCTCTTCACTAAATGAGACTAAAGAGACACAGCACCGAAGTGCAGCGTGTGACCCTTGGTTGCATCCGAGAGCTTTAAAAACAGCTAGAAAGGACATTCTTGGAACAATTGGGAAATTTGAATATAGACTTCTATGAGATAGTATCATTGTCTCAATGTTGAATTTCTTGAGAGTGATAAGGGCATTGTGGTTCTGTGGGAGAATGTTCTTGTGCTTAGGAGATGCTGAAGTATTGAGGGTGCTATCTGCCATTTAGCTGCAAAGGACTCGGCACACCAAACACATACAGTCATACACGAGAGAGCAAGAAAGAAAGCAACGTAGCAAAATGTTCATCGCTGATTCTATCTGGGCGAAGGATATTCATTGCATGAGTCTTGCCACTTTTCTGGAGTTTTGAAAAATTACAAAATAAAAGGCTGGGGAGGGGAAAGGAAGGCGCAAAAAGGAAGAGAGGCCCTTTGTTGCCTAGACTGTGCCTGTGTGATTGCCTCCCAGCCCCACAGCCCTGTTGCTTCAGGAGATGAGACAAGGGAGGGGGTGGTTGCTTGGCTGGGATGGCAGATTGATAGTGGGAGGCTTGGCAGAGGAAGAGCAGGGTCAGGTCTCGAGGGTGGTCCTGGTCCTGGGGTGCTTGCACGGGGAGCATCTGGAGTTGACACCTCTGGGCTCGAGTGTCAGGGCAAGAGAGGACCCTGAGGACGTATGTATGCTGCCCCCCATCACTCTCACCCTGTCACAGCCAGTCAGCTCTGCCTTGCTCCGGGTCCTGCCCCAATCCCCACGCCCACACCCCCATCTTCCCACCATCCAGCTTGTCTGGAGGGCAGGGCCTACCCTCTCTACCTGTCAGCCCTTCGGAGACAGATATCCCCTTGAATTCTCCTATTTGAGCTGAATAGTGTGGGCCAAGCCTGGCTACCAGCAGTGCTGAGATGTGGGCGGGACCCGAGGGAGCACTTTAGGGAGCGTTCATCCTCTGGAAAGGGCCTCCCAGACCTGTACCTGGGCCAGGCAGAGCTCCACATCTTAGTTCTAAACTGGAGCCTGAGGGACAGCCAGGTGCTGTGCTGCCCATGGCCAGCAGGTGGCAGACGTGCCCTTCCCAGGAGCTGGCACTGGACTGGAGCTGAGGGAAACCAAACAAAAAGAAAGCCCAGCTGGACCTTCTTGGACTGGGGTGGGGTGGGGGCTTCAGATCCCACGGCTCTCAGGGAGTCTGAAGCAGCTGCCGCCCAGCTGTGCAGCCTGGCTGCAGGTCAGGGGGTCCCAGGGATCCGAAGAGGCTTGCTCATTTTGTGAATCACAGGTCCACCGTGAAGAGAGAGGCTATGGTGAAATGTGGAAACTGGCAGTGCAAGCACCGGGCTGGATACTGGGGGAACCGTATGGGAAAGGTCAGGTCAATAGCCAGTTATTTATGCCCTGGATCTGGATCCTGAAACTGGGTGATGGTGGGGGCGGGTGGGGGGAATGAATAGATGCAATATTTGTCTTCTTTCATTCCATTATTCTGTTCAGTTTCCCCCACACAGAGACAAGGAAAATAAATGATAGAAGTCCTACTCCTGGGACTTGCAAATCCGATGAAAGAAGAGCAACACAAAGGAAGGAGGAGGAGGAGGTGGTGGAGGAGGAGGAGGAGGAGGAGACAACTATGATCTCACTTTGACTAAGAGCTGACAGTGTGCCAAGGACTGTGCTAGATGTTTCACATGCATTCTGTCTCACTGATTGCACACAATACTGATCACTGAGGCACGGCGATTATGTCCATTTTAGAGGTCAGAAAATGGCCCTAGCCAGTTTGGCTCAGATCATCGGCCTGTGGATCCAAAGGTCCTGGGTTCGATTCCAGTCAAGGGCACATACCTTGGTTACAGGCTCCTCCCTGGCCTGGGCCCTGGTCGGAACACATGCAGAAGGCAACCAATTGATGTTTCTCTCTGTCTTTCCCTCTCTCTTGCACTCTCTTTAAAAGATCAATGGAAATATATCCTCAGGTGAGGATAAGAAAGAAAGAAAGAAAGAAAGAAAGAAAGAAAGAAAGAGAGAAAGAAAACAGGTTAGCAGAGATTGAGTTGGTCAAAGGAACTCAGCTAATAGATGCTGGAGTCAAGATCAAATGGAGCCAGGTTTATACCAGAGCCCTCACTCGTAACCTCTGTTGCTGAGGGAATCATGGTGTGCCCCTGTTGTATCGAAAGGATGGAGGAGAAAGAAACAGAAGAGCTCCCTAACCATAAGAGACAGAGGATTGAGCGAGGGTAAGAGACTGGGCCCCTGTTCTTTGAAAGCTTTGTGAAAGGCCTGTCCAGAGGAGCCTGGGCCTGGCTGGACACGGAGAGGGCCTTGAGATGCCGGTGAAAGCTGAAGA